ATAGTGAAAAGTGTCAATTCACCTATAAATAAAATCCTGTCAGAATTAAAACAGACTTCACAACACAAACCTTAAATGCAAGAAGAGCTTGGAATGAAGTGTTTCAAGCCCTAAAAGAAAACAACTTTCAACCCAGATAGGTATATCCTACAAAATTATCTTTCAAATTAATGAAGAAATAAGATATTTCCATAATAAAGAGCACCTGAAGAAATTTATGACCATCAAACCCATACTTACAAAAATATTTAAGACATCACAGAAAGAAACAATGAAGTAGGGCCAGGATTTAGCTCAGTGGTGCCCACGCTTGCCTCAAAAGCGCAAGGTCCTGAGTTCAATCCCCAGTACCAAAAAAAGAAATAATGAAGTTAACAATGCCAAAAGCCCGAAAGAATGAATGCATTAAGTAGAGCCAGCAATTAAATAGAAGAAAAAGAAAGCAAAACAGCGAAAAATAAATAATAACAGAAATAAATCAATGCCTATCAATTATAACTATCAATATAATGGTCTAAATTCACCAATCAAAAGAAATAGACTGGCAGAATGAGTCAAGAAACAAAATCCAATGCTGTAATATATACAAGAAACACAGCTAACACAAAAAAATTCATAGACTAAAAAAATAAAAGGATGGAAAATAATATACCATGCAATAGGAGCCCCAAAACAAGGAGTAGCTATTTTATTCTCAGACAAAGTGGACTTTAAGCCAATGCTGATCAAAACAGACAAAGAAGGACATGATATATTGGATAATGGAACTACTTAACAGGAAGAGATAACAATGATAAAAATATACACACCAAACTACAGTGTACTCAACTTCATAAAACAAATGCTAGTGGCCATAAAAGATCAGATAAACATTAATACAGTTATAACGGATGATTTCAATACACCACTATCGAAAATAAAGCAACTAAGCAAAAAGTTAGCAAATTTCAGAGTTGAGCAAATTCTTTGATTAAAGAGACTTAATGTATATCTAGTGTTCCATCCAACAACAGACTACACATTCTTTTCAGCAGCACATGGTACTTTCTCCAAAATAGACCACATAATAGCAAATAAAACACACTTAAGTAATTTCAAAAGAATTGAAATTTTACCATGTATATTATCAGATTACAGTGAAGTGAAACAGAAATCAATAGCAAAAGAAACCACAGAAACAATTCAAAGGTATGGAAACTAAACCACACACTCTTAGATAAGCAATGGATCACAGAATAAATTAAGGAGGAAATAAGACAGTTCTTAGAATTAGATGATAAAACCAGTACAACATACCAGAACTTATGGGACACAATGAAAACAATCCTACTAGGGAACTTTATAGCTATAAATGCCCAGATTAGAAAAACAGAATGTGCCCAAATAAACAACCTAATGATGTATCTCAAGGTCCTAGAAAAACAAGAAAAATTCAAATCCACAGCTTGTACAAAGAAGAATATTATAAATACCAGGGCAGAAATTAAAAAAAAAAACAATACAAAGAATCAATGAAATGAAGGACTGCTTCTTAAAAAAATAAAGTAGACAAATCTATTGCCAATATTACCAGATTTAAAAAAGAAAGAAAGGACAAAATTCATGGAATTTGAAATGAAAAAGGTGAAATCTCAGAGGACATTACTGAAATCCAGAAAATTCTTACTACTTCACAAATCTATGTGCCAAAAAAAATGGAGAACTCAGAAGAAATGCAGCAATTCATAGATACATATGAATTACCAAAACTGAACCTAGAAGACTACAAATATTGAATAACCCAGTAACAAGCAATGAACCCGAGGCAGTTATTAAAAAAAAAAAAAAACTATCAACTAAAAAAAAATCTAGAACCTGAGAGAGTCACAGCCAAATTCTATTTGAGCTTCAGTAAAGATGCAACACCAATATTCCTCAAACTGTTCATGAAATTGAGAAGGAAGTACTTCCAAAAGAATTCTTAGAAGCTAACATCATCCTGATCTCCAAATCTGACAAAGATCCAGCCAAACAAAGAGAACTACAGGCCAATCTGTCTAATAAACATAGATGCAAAAATCCTTGAGAAGAATAGTGACACACAGGGGCTGGAGGTTTAGCTTAGTGGCTTCAGTGCCTGCCTGGCAAGCTCAAGGTCCTGAGTTCTATCCCCAGTTGTGCAACAACAAACAAACAAAAAAAGTGACACACAGAATGCAACAAATCATGAAAAAGATCATACACCATGACCAAGTAGACATCATCCCAGGGATGTAAAGATGGTTCAACATACACAAATCAATAAATATAATTCATCACATAGATAGAAGCATAGAAAAATTAGCATGATAATCTCAATAAATTCATAAAAAGCTTTTGACAAAATCCAATATCTACCCCGATAAAATAACTGAAGAAAATAAATATAGAAGGGTCTTATCTCAATCTGATAAAAACCATTTATGAAAAAAGCTACTGCCAACATTGTATTAAATGGGAAAAAACTGAAAAGCTTTCCTCTAAAATCAGGAACAATATAAGGATGTCCATTATCACCACTACCATTCAACCTAGTCCGTGAAACATTAGCCAGAGCGTATCAGGCAAGAGAAAAAATGAAAGGGATGCATACATATAGGAAAGAACAAAGTCAAAATATCATTATTTGCAGATGATATGATTCTTTACTTACAAGAACCAAGTAACTCCACAAAAGGACTCCTAGAATTGATAACCAAATTCAGCAATGTAGCAGGATACAAAATAAACCCACATAAGTCACTAAACAGTAATAATAAACTCACTGAAAAAGAAACCAGGAAAACCACACCATTCACAATGGCATAAAAAAACCCCAAATAAATAATACTTCAATTTTGACCTAACCAAGGAAACGAAAGACCTCTACAATGAAAATTATATCAGTCTGAAAAAGGAAATCTAGGAGGACATAAGAAAATAGAAAGATATTCCCTGGATATGTAGAACCAATATATTAAAAATGGCTAAATTTTAAAACTGATATAGAGATTTAATGCAATCCCAGTGAAAATGACAACAGCATTTCTCACAGATCTAGAAAAAACAATCTTAAAATTCATATGGAACCAGAAGAGTCCCAGGATAGCAAAAATAATCCTGAGTAATAAAAGCAAAGCAGAAGGCATCACAATCCCAGGTTTCAACTTATACTGCAAAGTGACTGTGATTAAAACAACATGTTGCTGGCACAAAAACAGGCACATGGTTCAATGGAACAGAACAGAGTAAGAAGAATTGACCCTAGGTGCATTCATCTGTTTGATCTGGGACAAAGGGGCCAAAGATATACACTGGAAGAAAGATAGACTCTTTAATAAATGGTGCTGTGGAAAAACTGGATATCCATATGTAGACGATAGAGTATAGACGCATACATCTCACAATGTTCTAAACTAAAATTAAAATAGATCAAAGATATAAATGTTAAAACAGAAAAACTCAAGCTGCTGGAAGATAATAGAGGAAATACTCTTGAAGACAAAATGTAGGCAAAGATTTTCTGAACAGAACCCCATTGCACAAGAAATAATACTAAGAATCGACAATTAGGATAAGTTCAAATTAAAAGGCTTCTGTACAGCAAAGGAAACAACCAACAAAGTGAAGAGACAACCAAGAGAATGGGGGGAAACACAGTTTGCCAGCTGTTCCTCAGAGAGAGGTCTAATACCAAGAATATATAAAGAACTATAAAAAAGACCCCCCAAATAAAAGACCCAATTAAAAAATGGGCAAATGAAATGATAGACACTTCTCAGAAGAAGTACACTTCAGTGGCCAATAAATGCAAGAAAAAATGTTCAAAATCACTGGTAGTTAGAAAAATGCAAATTAAATCTATTGCTTACCCTAGAAAGAATGGCTATCATCAAAAAATCAAGTAACAAATGCTGGTGAGGTTGAATGGAAGAAGACACTCTTTTATATCATTTGTGGGAACATAAACTAGTGCAACCACTATGGAAATCAGTGTGGAGATTCCTCAAAGAACTAAAAATAAAAATTCCATTTGACTCAGCTATCCATCTTCTAAATATCTTGAGAAAAGAGTTAAAGTCATTATATTACAGGGATAGGTGTGTGCCTATGTTTATAGCAGCACATTTTATAATAGCTAGATATTGGAAACAGCATACATGTCCATAAAGAGATGAATGGATAAAGAACATGTAGTATTTATACACAATGGAGTACTACTCTGCCATAAAGAAAGATAAATTTGAATGATTTGTAGCAAGTGGATGCAATTTGAGAACATAATGTTAAGTGAAATAGGTCAGATACACAAACTTAAATATTTCATGGTTTCTCCCATATGAGTTCTCTCTCTCTCTCTCTCTCTCTCTCTCTCTCTCTCTATATATATATATATATATATATAAAGTAGGGAGAAATTAAAATAATTTCCCAAATTATCTATTCTGAAGTTTCAAAAACATTTTAAGATATATGGTAATTTGTTTCATTTATATTACTATTTTCCTTTTGTTCCATGAAAGGAAAGGGTTTTTTTTTTCTTGTATTTGTTCATTTCTTCTTTGTAAGAAAGCATTATTTATTTATTTATTTATTTATTTATTTATTTATTTATTTTGGTCCATGACATACTGTAACATTTGTCCATTCTTTTAAGATCACGATACACAGTATATTACTTATTGTTATTATCTAATTATTTTGCTATGAAGTTATATTTTATTTTTTCATGGAAATAACAATGCTTTTTATATTTTCTTTATTAATATCTTCTTGTATTACACTAAAATAAAAAAAAGAACTAGGAAGGGCTGGCAGGTTGTGGCTTTTTCAGTTCCCTACATGAACAGAATCCTCCCTCTATTCTGTGTTCTCCAGGATCATGTTTTCTTAAGAAAATCCAGCAATGTCCCCAATTAAATACAGAGACAGCTCCCTCTCACCCATCAGCTCCCAAGGCAGGTCTCTGGAAGAGTTCAGACAAACACGACAGCCCTCCTTCATTGATTTTATTTTCATTTTTTATTGAAAGCTTCATCAAAGAAAACAAATTTAAACCTAAGATCCACTGATCTACAGAAAGCCCAAGAAATAAGGGAAACAGTATCTAATTTGACTGTGATACAGATGAAAAAAAGTAAAATAAAACCCGAAACACCTTAGTATTACAGAACTTTTCATGACAGAGACAGCAATACAAAAATGCTTTTAAATAAAATTTAAAATTGAGGGATGTTTCAGAAGTTCCATGAAGTTGAGTATGGCCTGAAATAAGGGTTTTAAAAGAAGCAGCGTCCCATTTTTCTTAGAAACTCAGTATCTCATAACAAGTACTTTTACAGATATTTTTAAAATTAAGATTCCAATTATATTGTAAGTAAACAGAAGCATTTATTTGCAGAATGGGGAACTTTTTTTTTTCAAGTATCTCTTTGAAATAGTTTTTACAGTTCCTGAAAGGTATGAAATAATTCCTTGTTTTTATATATATGATGAAATAACACATTTTGGGGAGGAGGACAGAGCATCTTTTTAAAAAATCTAAGACCAGAGGATTTAAATACAAATTGTAACACTCATGTTACACTTTGAATTTATTCAAAATGTTATCAGAAGAATTTCCACTGGAGTGTCAAAGTCATTCAGCCTTGATACAGTAACACAGTCAAAATATAACAAAAATAATGTAGTTTTTCGTCAAACTGAAAGAAAGGAATAAGAATGTACATTTAACCAAGAGCTACTATTATATTCTCATAACAGAAACTGTTTATTTTTTCAACTGGTTTAGCTTTCAGTAGAGTGAATGAAACCAAAACAGCTTTCTTCTGAGGGAAGCCCAATCCTGGCCACAGTATTTTCCTTTATATTGTGCAAGAATACAGCCAACTGTCAATTGTTTGCAGTGAATGGTAAAAGGATATTATGGATTATCAAAATCCTGGGTCTATAATTAACTGACATGAGTTTTCTTAATGGCTTCAACTTTCATTAAATCAGTACTTAGGAAGTAGTATTAATTTGAATTTTATTTGATTAATTTGAATTTTATTTCCAATTAGTTCTTCTTCCACCCTCAGGGTGAAATATTAATGAAAGAGAACAGTGCCTAAGGCCTAATTCTTTTGAAGAAAAAAAACCAGATACACAAAATAGAAAATTAGCCCTTCAGAAAATGAGAGTGATAATATTTCTGCAAAACTCAGAAAATGGGACCGTTTTAGGAAAAACTCAGCTGTGATTCAGTGGCCTTGTGGTTCTTTCTTGAGTCCAAGCTCAATTCCATAAGCTTCCTGTGCGGAAGAAACTTTTCTTTATATATTATTTTCCCACCCAGAGATATAAAGAGATGAATATTAAGAGGTCACCTATCTTGTTTGATTGTTCTTTTGTTGTTGTTGTTTTTTGATAGCATCTATATGCTGGGGTTAAAACCAAACATAAAAGAAATCATTAATCTAGCATGAACTCCTCACATTGTAAAAGATCTCCGAGGCCACTTGTGGGTTTAGGGTTGAGTTTTGTATTTCCTTGAACACATAATCCACAAAGAACAGCCAATACTAAGAGTGTTTAGATTAAGGGACCAATGTCATCTTTTAAAGTGTTTGGTAAATGCTAATCTTGAGTCATACCTAACTGTCTTCCAATGCCATCGTGGATACTATTTATTTGTAAAACAAATTTACTCATTAATGAAATCTCATTATAACGTTGCTACAGAAAAGGTATAGGGTACAGAATCAATAAACTTGTTTAAATGTTGTCAATTCCTCAGATTGAAGTGAGAAGCTGTCAGTCCCAGTGAACTCACAACTGTGAAGCTTGCCAGCCATAACAGCATGAAAGGTAAAATCCTGTTCTTTATGGCTGATCCAGGTCAAAGAGAATAGATCAAGATTCAATGACTTGCCATACTGTTTTGCAATGTGTGATTCCTCAAGTGTGCTGAATGTTATTATACATATACATGAATGTTATCCCTTTGTTCAATTTTAAATCATATAAAAAACACATCACTGGAACACTTAAGACTTTCTCTCTGCATAACAGCTCATCAGCAGTGGGTTCGTGCACTCAGATCAGGAGTGAGGCTGGATTGTCAAATGTATTTTAATCTGTTAACATCATCATCTGTCTAGACAGCCCACTGAAACTTCTCTTCAATCACAGAGAAGACTGCAAGAGTTCTATTTAAATCAAATTCCACTTTTCATTAATGAGGGTTTTAGGTCATTGTAAATGTTACATAGCCATAGAAGAGACATCTCAATTATTTAAATATTTTTAAAAAACCCAAACTCAGAAATAGTTTTGGTTATACATGAACTGAAAATAATTTTGAAGCAGTTTTGTGATGGGGTCAATGTATTTTGTTGCCATAGTGAAATAATGTGAATTTCCTGCTCCATTCAGCCTTCTTCAGCTCTTAGCCTTCCAGCTCTTAGCCTTCCTCTCTAATGAGAGCAGGAGCACACTTTTAATGTCAGGTGATTTTTCATTAGAAAAGAGGTGAAAGGGAGTCATGCTTTCAAGGATGGCAGATCTGCTGAAGTCACAAGAAGAATTAATTCAAGTAAAGTATGAGACAATATTCTGAATTGTTGAACTTTGCCAAGGAAACAAACTAATCCTGGCCAGCTCAAGAGTTAGGTAGAGGATTTTCTTTTCTTTAGAATGTTGTTTCATTTGTTATATACAAGACACATCAGCATTCAAAGACAAATTGTTATCAGCATCTACCAGTATTACCTTTAGTTCACACAGTCTGGATTTTGTTGTCCTTCCAAAACAGCTCTTCATTCGGAGCCTACAATTTCTATACACACTTTATGTCCCCTGTCCATACCTTCTTATTGCTAAAATGATTGCCTTTTATACCTGATCATCCACTGACCACATGACTAGAGTTTGCATGAGAAGGTGTTTATCTCATTTGGAATGTGGATTAGTTTGTTTCCAAATGTGCAGGATAAGTCTTGGCAATTAAAGTAAAAAGGAAAAATTGAAACATATAAATAACTGTTTGGTAAATCGGAATTCAAAGAAAAATAACTTCATCTAAAAAAAAGGATTATCATTCTAAATGAGATTAAAATCCTACAACATGTATTGTTGACCAATTTGGATTTGATATCTGTGTATTTTGAACACATATTTTTGTTTGTTTTATTTTTCATACAACTAATGCTGCTTACCTGTTGATGCCCCCTCCCTCCTTCCCAAGACTGGATTTTTGAAAACAATTCTTAGGTAAAATGAAAAAGGGGGTGTGTGTGCAAATTTGGACATGTGCAATTTTATCTTTTTGTTTCTTTTTGGTTTGAAATAACGTTTTATAGAATGGCATGATATAAACAATCCAAACACAAAATACACATGGACACATAAAATGACAGGGAGAATAATTTCCTGAGACTACTAAAATTTCATATTTGAAAAAAAAGTATCTGAATATATAAAGCAGCAGTTTTGAATAGAAACAGGAAGTTACCTAGGCACATCAGCCACATGTTAGCTAACTCTTAGCCTCATTACTGATTGTGTAAATGAGACTTTCTTTGTATCCCATTGACATATATTTTTGGGTGTTTTTTACAGAAACAAAGGAATGCATGTTGTTTGTTTGTTTGGTTGGTTTCTTTTGCATGTTGGTTTTATATTCAAACGAATTGTGCCCAGGATAATTCTTATTTATACAAAGAATTCAGAGTGTGAAAAAGAGAAACAGAAAATACAATTCCCATACATGTTTTTTGTACCCCTGTAATGTGAGGAGCCTACTTTCAAAGATAATATCACCACTGTAATACACGGGAAGCTGAAGGATGCAATGGAAAAGTGTTTAAATCTATGATTCTCTCTAAAGCATAGAAAACCATCAGGATGGGTGTGATCAGCTGAATTTCTTTGTGCCACATGCCACATTTTGTTGATATATTTTGCCAGTGGTTAGACTACAAAGATGTGTAGTCACTCTGGGTTTGAGCTTCCAATTCATGGGCTTGCAAATAAGAGAACCAGGATCTATTTAAACAGTGGATTATTTGCACTTTCATTGAGTCAAACTCCTTATTCATACTGCCCTAATGAGAATATGATTTACCTTTTATATTTTTATATTTTTTAGTTTTTAAAAGCCTACCCTGTTTTCATTCATAGTGCACTTAATACATTTACCTCTTCCATCGGGACCAAGTTAAGTTCCTGTGACTTACTTAGTTTGTGAGAACAGTTTCATTTTTGTGATTCAAATGATTTGACCACAATGTACTTGTAGTGAGTAGTCCAATTAACAAAATTCTGTTTCATTTTCTTCAATTTCAGGTTAAACTGTATAGGTTGAATGTTGACTTGATAAATCAAAAATGTAAAGATGTTTTCTAGGTAAGTCAATTTAATAATTGTAGATAAAATTTTGCATTTTTCTATATGCAAATATCTCCTTTGGCTTTAATGATTGATCAAATCTAGGCCTTTTGGTACTTATTGAAATAAATCATACAATTTCTTGATTGTCAACTAGCATTTTAAGAGCTTTCCTAAATTTCACTATGAGAATCCTCAATATTATTGGGACTTCTTGCCTCAGAAAATTAAACAGAAATAAAAAAAGTATATTTACTTTCTTTCTGGCAAGACCAAGATATGAAAATACCATGAAAAGAGACAAAAAGGAGACACCCACTCCCCAAATGCAGAGTCAAGGTGGCCATTCATGGTTGTTGATGACAGGACTGAGGTGAGAAGATGAAACTGGGTGGTGTTGGAATTTAGAAGGAAGACGATTGTGCGAAATATCATGAGATCTTTGTAGGAGACCACTCACCATTTCACACAATACCACTAAGCTTTTCTGACAAATGACATTTCAGAGACCTTTCAGGCCATGTTCAGGAAGTATCTTTAGTTCAAAATCCACAGAAAGGAAATCCACTCTTTAACAAGTGTCTGGCTATTGGAGGCCATCAACACAGGCATCCTATTGAAGAGAGCTAGCAAGGAACCAGAAAAGCTCACAAAATTAAAAGCTTCTTGGCTCTGTTAATTGGTATCCAGACCTCTTCATGCTGGGATTGCTGAACACAGCCGGTGTGAGCTTCTACTATCAACAAATATACATTTAAAAAATATTTTTTGTGTGTGGTATGTTAAACACCAGTGGAAGGTAGTTTAAACAGACAACAAAGTAAGAACTGGTCCGGCCATTGTAGGTCAAATAAAATTTTAAAGAAAAGAAAAGAAACAAAACAAATCTCTATCTTCTGGACTGTAATAGGGTGTCACTTCATCTTTGGTATAAAATAGGCCATCCATAGGCTGAATTTGATCACAACTAGGAAAGACTACAGAAATTGTCAACAATTTCTCTATCTATTGCTTTTTTTGTTTTTTTTTTTTTTGCACTTTTTGACCATAAGCTCCTATCTACTTATGTTTTTTTTGTTTTGTTTTTAATGCTCTTAAGCTAAGTTTTGTAATGTGACAAGCAAAGCTGACTAAAAACTTTGTAAAGCTCATAAAAAAGACTGCAGATAAAAAGCACTAATGCTTTTGCTAGCAATCACGCTTTGTAAATAAAAAAATCTGCATTCTGCCCCCAAACACGCATTATTTCTAATGCAGTTGTTTTTAAACCAACATTAATAACTTTACTGTAAAATGTTTTAGCCTTCTAGAATGATTTGTGTCAACACTTAAGACAAAGTTCATGAAAAGTCCCAGCATTTCCCAATTCTTGCAGTTGCCATGGTTTCTTTTATCAACAAATTTTCTTCAAATGAAGAAAAACATTTTCTTTTAAACTGTACAGTTTTTTTCACCCTAAAAACTCGTAGTCTTAAACTTCTGTACCAGTTAAAGCTGGCACAATATTTCAATTCTTTCTTGAATTTTTTTTTTTAACAAGACGTTGACAGCTTGCCTTGAGAGCCTTTGACGTCCTTAAAATTAAGGCAATTAAGATTCAAGATAAACCTTACCTAAATATTTCTAAGAAAAAATAAAATTAAAAAAACCCCACTAGGTTTAAACAGGAAGGGAAAAAGAGAAAGAGTAGCTTAATTACTGAGGAAGACCATTTGCCTTCATTTTGGTTTGCTCGTCTCTTGACATGAGATTTTCCACTTTAAAAAAAAAAAGAATAAGAAAGAAAGAAAATCTATTTACACTGTCAGGTAAATTTTGAATTCAAATGCTCTTCCAGATATAATGTCAACCTTTGATGTTTTTCCCCTCCTCTTCTGGGATTTCTTTTCCTTTAAGTAAAAAAAATTAAAGGGTGGCAAAAATAAACTGTCAGACCACATGAAGGAACCATTTGCACAGCACATAAAAACTTTGTTTCACTGAGTAAAATATAAAATAAAAAAAAGCCTTCCATTGACGCCTGTGCAAACTGGAAGCCAACTAACTTCCTGTTCAGTGAAGTTTCTTCATTCAAGGCAAAATTTCAGACGGACATTCTTCTGTTCTGTTTATGGTCTGTGAAAACAATGAAATAAGAGTGGTCATTACATCACAGCAGCTTTGAATTCGTCTTCTGTGCTCTTTTCCAGAGAAATTTCTTTAAAAAGTAGTGAGGTCTTTCACTGTAACATGCTCATGAAACAAATTGCAATTGCATATTTAATTACAAAAGCATATTTAGCCTACAAAATTGTCAAATACCACTCACTAATATTTTCAAGCTAGAGAGTTTGATCTCATTAAAGAATTAAAGTTAATGGACTAACAGTCTTTTTATTCTAAAGCAATAAATTATACAGATATATCTCACATATACTCAGAGAGAAATCTCTCCTGCTATGGTTTGGATATGGCTTGAGTATGTCTCCACAGAGTGCTTATTTTGGAAGCCTGGTCTCCATACGGCAATGTGGAAAGTGAACCTTTAAGAGATTGTGCTTAGGAGTAGGTCAGCATGGAGACTGCCTTTGGAAGGGATTAAGGCAGTTCTCATAGGTTCCTGAACTAAATTTCAAAAGCAAATTTTTCGAAAAGAACAAGCCTGACCCCTTCTAATTTCTGCTTCCTGTCTCATTATGTAATCCCTCTAACGCTGGATCCTACCATACTATCTGTCAAGGAGTCTCTTACCAGTGGTCAAACAGAGGAGACTGCCTAACTTTGGACTATCACCCCCCAAAACTGTGAGCTAAATAAACTTCATTTCTTCACTCATTATCCAGCTTCAGTTATTATAGCAATAGAAAATGAATAAATATAACCTCCTGTGAGCATAGAACCTGGTTTTCAATACCTGATATATGTTATAGATCTCCCAGATACTTTGTAATTACATTTTTTCAGAACTACCATAGGATCTATCACTAATTCAGTCAATAAATATGTGATTTCCCACTATGCACCATAATGACTGAATTATATGCTATCTTGTGGTGTTTACCAAGTAGATGCACATAAACCTTATTGGCCCAAAACGTTTTATAAGACAATTGTTCTTTCTTATTTGTTGCTCCCATCCTCATTTTAGATTTTTTTTTTTTTTTTTTTTTTTTGGTACCAAGGATCGGACTCGGGATCTTGCGCTTTCAAGGCAGGCGGCAGAACCACTGAGCTAAACCCCTGGCCCCTCATTTTAGATTCTTAGCTGGATGTCATAACATGCACTTACAGTCCTAGCACTGACTGTGTGAGCCCAGGACTTTGAGGCAAGCCTGGGCAACATAACAAGAACCCTATCTCAAAAAAGCATCACAGTTCCTGACATCAGAGGCTATATTTTATTTCTACTTTTTCTGTCTGGAATATGGCAACATGAAATTTCCATAATAGGTAATTAACTAGGTAAATGTCCTTTTATTGTATTTCATTTTTCCCAGATGGGCTGGGTTAATCAAAGCCCTGAAGCCCCATCTATATTACAGGATTAAAGTTCTAGGGGATTGAACTTTACTTTTAGCTCTTCTGCTCACAGGTTAGAACTTTGTTAAATAAATTTAGTTATGTTGTACAAAGAGGGAATTTTATCTGTAGGTCACATTTAGATGTAGGCCTCTTCCCTCAGGGCACAGATTGACAGCAAAAAGCTCTGCAGATTCTGTTGGTACCCAATTGCTTCTTTTGTAAATAAACCTCAGAGTTGCTAGGTATAGGTGTGTATGACCAGTGGTTGAGGGAAGAGGGCTACACTTCAGTAAAATGTGTGCTCCCAAAGCCATGAGATCTTTATAGGCCTCTGTTCAGAGAAAGTGTGTTCATCTTATTCAGATTCACAAAAGGCTCTCAGCAATATTTTAAACTGTATTATGTCTAGAGCTGAAATGGTCCCGAAAGGTCTATTTTTCCTAATTTGCAGAAAGTCATCATGAGGCAGCTGTGGCTAGTAGGAACCTAATGAGTTTGTTCCAAGAATCATGTATGGAGAGCAACAAATTGATAGATTGACTATTTGAAATATTTATAAGTAATTTAATGTCCCTAAAATTACATCATACTTTTCCTCTTGTGTTACCTGAGAAAGTGAGATTTCTTCTAAGAAGGAATGCAATTACAATTTTTATAACACCAACAATGATAAGGGAAATTTTATTAGTAGTAGTATTAAGAACTATGGTCTATATTTTAGTTCTCTTTTTCTGTCTTTGCAAATTGTAGGCTTATTCCATTTATATCTAAAATCTATCTTGCTATGAAAACAAAGTTTTGGTCTATTTTTGCTGTTATTTCCATTTTTCCATTGTGCATTGAACAGAAAATGCCTAAAATATCATGGCTTCTTCATTTAATGGTTCAGCCTATAAAAGACTCTTTCTACTCAGGTACTTTATAGGCACCAATCACTGAAGCACCAGTATGATGAGTTAGGCTGGAGCTACTTTTAGGTTTATAACCTTATATAACTGTTTCTAGTAACCCTCTCCCATAATGTTTTTGGTCCTTAAAGTAGCCTCATTGTTGTCTGAAAACAAATGATTGTATTTTAAACATTCATGATTTCTAAGTAAAGTTTGAAGGAAAAAAGGTGTTGCCATTTAATATAACTAAAATTCACTTCTGTCTGCCTTCTCTGCACTAGATGAAGTGTAATGTGCACATTTACATAGTGATTATGGACTACACTGATATTCATAAAAACAGGATTCTCAATTTTCAAGGCTGTGATCATTAGTAACAAGAATATAGGTAGAAACTCAATTTATGTGAAAAAGCTAAGTATGAAAATCATTTGCAAACTGTAAAGTACTCTGCAGTATGACTCACAAGTTTAATTCACACATTATCAGTATACTGACAAAAGAATTTGGTGTTCATGTGAGTTCAGTTACCCTGATGAGATATGAAGAATAAAAAGAAATTGCAATTCCAAGGGTAATATAATGGTCTTTTAATGTCAGAGTGAATATTTGTAGACTGATGATTTGACTGAATCTGTTAACATGGAATCATTTTGAATTCTCTCTTCAATCTCCTCTTCAATACCAGCTGAGTGAATAGGTTGTGAAATAGCAAACCATAATCTCAGAAATATACATTTTTGGAAATCTTAAGAGATCATCTAATGATTGAGTATGTCCCAGAATAATTCCTTACAGACCAGCTTCATGTGTTGCTATGTTAGAAGAAGTATTTTTTGGTCCAGAGTTTGGAAAAGCTGTATCTTGTATTTCTACTGCTGGATTAGCCACAGGTAAACTAAAGATGTGGCTAGGGCACAATGAAGGGCACCAGTGTAAAAGAAGAATTTTTTGGAAAAGAATAAAATGTTTTACATTAACATCAAAAGAACTAACAGATAATCAATATATTATTACACTTCTGTAATAATTTAGTTTATAATATCTTGGAATTCCACAAGTGGAAGGCAACACAACCTATTCTGTCAAAAAGTAAAACACCTGAAGTATTTATTGGCCCCTAGGATGTCATGTATATTATTACCATATTTTACTGTATTTTAATGACTTTGAGGAGAACTGCAATTAAGGCAAATATTTGCTTTAGTTTAAGCAGGGTATTCCAACACACTTGGATGAGGAAGTGCTGGAGGGACTTTCTAACCCTAACTCCATAGCGTGGTGATAAATCATTCCTCAGTACTAGAGTCCTTGCTCACATCTTTAGCCAACAATGCTCTAACCCTCACGCTTTAAAAAAAGAGGAAAATCAGGTTCCAAAGAAGTGAAAGATAATTGAAGACACAAAGCTAGAATAAAAATAGTTGTGCATATTAGATTTTAACTTTGTTGGAAGACATTCTCTTTAGATCCTAGCTATGTTTAAGGCTTCCTACAAGACACAAAGAAAAACAGATAATTTGAATGGGAATTGGAATTTCCATTAAATTTCCAAGGTAAACCATAGCTATCATTTCTGCCTTCTGTGATAAGAGCTCAGAGTCCCTTTTACATTAATAGCTTCTTTTAATAATGGGAAAAACCCTCCATAAATATAAAATCTGAAGTACTGTGTTTTAGCTAGGAAAGTTTACTGATAAATCCCAAATACAGTCTCTTTATTCATAGGCACATCATTTATATTCTGCAAGCTTTTCTCCTGCAATCTTTGATTGCAAAGGCTGTCATTTACTTATATCTTTAGTGCAGACATTTTGGTGTTAAAGGTATATGTGATGCCTCAAGCTACTTTTCAGGGGCACTCAGTTGCCCTTATCAGAATTTCAAGCCCACAGGAGGTCAGCTCGCATTTAATGAGAAAGGCCAGAGGTTTGTACAAAGTACTTTAAGCTATCCATATCTCAATTAGCATAATGATTGTTAGAAATGGGTTGCCTGATGAAAGTGGTGGCATGTTAATTAGCATAATGATGTTGGAAATGAGCTGCCATTTGTGAAATCTGGCGTGTTTAAGATAATGTGGATCGGCTAAATTATTTTAGAGATACTTTCCAATATACTAGAACAGGAAGGAATATAAAAGGATTTAGGGAGAATCTATAGTAGACCGTAACTAACTGTAGGATATTGCTTGAGGCGTAATCTCAAAACAAAACTCTCAAGGGGTAGATTTCTGGTTGCCCTTCCAAGGATAATATAGTCCAATATCTAGAAAATGGACAAATGCAAGCAGAGTGAATTTTTCATGTTATGATCAAATAACTTTAGAAAGCAGAGCAGGGACTTTATAAAGTGTACATATTAGCCTGTATGAGTAGTTATATGCCTGCTTTCTAAGGAATGCTTGTTTGATAACAGTGACTGTGAGTGATCTTAAATCCCTCAAACTTTTCCTTGTGAAGGTTACTGATGAAAAAGAGCCCAGTGTGCATGATGTAAATATTCAGCTCAGTTCCCATTGTCTTCCTTGACTAGTTCTGAAAAATCTCATGTTTTACCATGACATAGGTCAGATTTCCTTGGCTGAAATTAATAAAATTGATAGTCACATTAATTACTTCTTTTTATAAATTTCCAGAAGTGACTGCTATCTTCATATGTGTTTGTCTTAGTATGCTGTTTCTTTTACATTTGGTATTTTGTTGGTGTTTCAAGTCAAAGGCTTCTAACACTTTTTGCATTTCAGAAAGGGGAAGCTAAGAGTACAGTAAAGACCCATTGATTTTTTAAAATCAGTTTAAAGAAAATTCTGCAAGGCATTGCAAGTGGTTTTTCCATGACATACTTTTGAAATGTCCCATTTGCCAAGGTGCTTTCCTCTCTGGCTGTTGCAGTAAGGAGTATGACCCGGGGAACATCTGGTAACATAGGTTCCTTTGTGAGTACAAAAGCCCATTTTTTCAAACAAGGAAATCTTCATCATCATTTTTACCACCATGAGGACATGGGATGAGTGTTTTAACTCTGCATATGTATTATCCCATGAAACTTAAGTATCCCCAATCATAATAATCCATGGCTTAATGAGAATGTAGTCTAACCATAATTTTAAAAACATTTAAACAGAGAAAGTTGTATGTTGTTAGACTCAGATGCCTTCAAATATTTCAAGGAGTAAAGCTTGAAATTGATTCACCATAAGGATAACTAAATTTCTTGTCCATCTCCACAGCCAGACCCTCTGGGGCTTTTATCTTATCTGCCTCTGTTATTGGTATCAATGACTCCCTTGGTTTCTCTGGAATTGTAAAATATTTTTTCTGTTTTTCAATCTATCCTCCACTATACCTTCTTAACCCCAACATTATATCCACCACAATCATACTTCAGACCTTTTGTCCTTCCTGCCTGAACCAGAGCAATAACAGACTGTTGATTTCCATTGCTTCCAAATTTGTAGTCTCCCTCAACTGGAAGAAAAGACTTTAAAACAAAGAAAGGAAATGCTATCCACACACTTCAGTATGGCACCTGATATCAGAATCTGGGTGTGCCTTTCCATGATATTCTACTACTCTCCTTCCACTTCTCAAGGAAATACTTTCTCCTCTACCCCTGGACTTGGGTCAAGCTCTGACACCATCTGTAGTGTTGCTGCTTCCTGCAAAATCTTGCTCCAGTTGTTATGACCTCCACCAAAGCATAGAAATCTAGAAGAAACAAAATGCATTCTCCTATAACTATGGCTCTTTGTGAGTGTTTTCCATTTTCTTCCTTAAAGTATGAATATCTTGGGTATGGGTTGATCTGAATCCTATCCTAGATTGTTAAGCCTCAAAGAGAGGGATAACGCCTTCTGGTACAATAACTGGTGTGATACTGGTACAAGAGAACTAGGACCTGGACCTGGAGCTGAGCATCTGTGAAAGGCAGAGATGCTCTGTGTGAGTCCAACATAACTTCCTTCCCACCACATCATACTAAGATCATGAAAAGGTACTTCACCCCTAACTGGGAACATCCTTGAGAAGGAAGAGAATGTCTCTTTTGGGATGACAAGAAGGAGCAACTGCAGCTCAGTTAATCAGGTGGGGTGGGGCAGAGATTCGATATAGTTGCAAGATGGGGAAAATATGCATCTCAAAAAAAAATCCTTGAAACATTTCCCTCTACATGCAGGCTACATTGGTGATAAAATCATTTATATGTAAATCAAATTATACAACTTGTATTTAAAAGTCCTACATTGATTTCTAAGCTCACTTTGAATAAAACTAAGTGTAATCTCCCTGTACAAAGTTAAGTAACTAAGGGCTTAATAATGCCTGGCCTCTTTGCCTCCATCTTCTTCTATTCTCTCCTCTAGTCCAGAAAACTCCAGCCTCATGTTCCCCTCTTAGTGCTTCTAAAAAAGTCTATTTCCTCTGCTTAGAATGCTTTGTCTTGAATCTCTCCAAGATTAGCTTTAAAACATCTTTCAGTTTCCAGGCGTACAAGAGCCCTCCTCTGATACCAAATTCTAGGAGTTTAACTCATCACTTTCTACCAGAAAGAAAAATTTTGAATAATTTGCTTTGCAATTGTATTTCATTTTATTGTTTTTTTGATTGATCCATTGTATATGAGTCTATTCCTAGTAGAAAGTAAAGTCCAAGAGAGGGCTGGGGAAGAAATCTGCATCTTTCTTTGATCTTTTCCTAGCACCTAGAATGCTGGCTAACAGTAGGTGATCAATACATAATTGTTGGCTGGATGAATGAAAACTTTGCTTTCATTTATCTAAGAAATTATTACACTATGAACAAGAAAGTTCTAGGACAAAGTTCTAGGAAAGTCTCTCATTTTTTCATTACGCTTTGGGAGATGCAAAGCCAGTTTCACCTACTTTTGAGCCTGGTGAAGTATACTTGGCAAACTATGTAGTAGTCGGGGTTATTTAGCAAAACAGACCAAAAGATAAATATCACTCTGGGAGGCTAACGCAGGAGGATCACAAGTTTGAGCTCAGCACTGGCAACTTATCAAGACCTTGTCTCAAAGTAGAAAATTAAAAAAAAATAAAAATAAAAAGGGCTGGGGATGTAGCTTGGTGTAAAGGCCCTGTGTTCAATACCCATTACTATAAAAGGATAAATATAATAAATATAGAAACAGAGAGGGGAGAGATGTAGGTGCCAGCAAACTGGCAGCCTAAAAGAGCCAATGTTACAGTTTCAGGCTGAGTCTGAAAGTGGAAAAGCAGGAAAGCTGATGGTGTAAATGAAATGCCAGCCCTCAACATCCAAGTTAGTCAATGTTTCCCCTGAGTCCAAAGGCAGAAAAAGACAAGTGTTGCAACTCAAGGATTCAGGCAGAAGTTCCCTTTTATTCCTGGGAGGATCAATCTCTCTGTTCGGTTCACACCTTTAACTCAATGGGCACCCCTACATTAAGGAGGGTGATCTACTTTACTCAATCTACTGATTCAAACTTTAATCTCATCCCCAATCACCTTCATGAACATACCCAGAATAATGTTTTCACCGAATATCTGAGCACCCCATAGCCCAGTCAAATTGACACATAAGATCAATCAGCATATATAGTGTCTCTCATTTCCCACCAGTGTCTCTCACTCTGCTTCTACACAGCCCATCCATGATCCTTTCCCCCACATATAACCCACTGAGCAGGCTGAACAAATTCCAATATGCCTGAACCAGAGTGTTAGAGATCAACATGTTGTTTATTGCATGAAAAGTTATTCACAGAGGCTGTAGGTCAGTTGAAACAATGACAACAGCCTGCTTTACCCAGTAACAATATTTTTGAAAGTTTTTATTGATAACAATAGTAATACTCTATCTTTGTATGATTAACTAGTGTTTTGAGCAAATTTAATTTTTACAGCTGAATTTAGAAACTATCCTAGACTCAGAAGATTCCATTACCTTGATTAATCCAACAATAAGCAAATCTGCTAATGTGTATGGAGCATAGAGTGACAAAGCTTCTCTCCATGACCAAATTTCAGTCTGGCTATCCTTAGCTCCCTTCTTGAGTACACCTAGACCTTGAAGGCATCCATGCCTGGTCTACATGGTTTCATTTTACCAAGAAGCTTGCTAAATCAATTTAGATGGAATCCCAACTCTTGATATTTGACCATCCTCAATATCTGATCAATTTCTTTATCTCCCACATTTCATTTATCAATTCTTGATCTGCTTTCAGTAAGAATCCTTTTAAGTCAGTTTAGTAATAATTTCTCTACTCTGCTGTCTCCTCTTGATATTTCTTCACTCGCTGACCCCTTCTCTTTGTTGATTGGTTATCCATCCCCAGCTGTCTTTGTTGTATTCTGAGTTGAGCCCTGATCTCTCTCCTAATGTGATAGTCTTGACACGTACTGAAATTATCCTGAATAAAATCCTCTTTGTTCTTTTAACAAGTGTCTGAATAATATTTTTCTTTAACAAGCAAAATGATGACAAAGAAATGGAGCAACATTCTCCAGAGAGGATCATCTGGGAATTCACTGTTCTTCAAGGGTTTGACTGTTATTTATAAAGTTAAATAGTTTGCATGCCAAGGCCTCTGCTCGCAGACTTTTCTGTTGCTAATTCCCTTGGTTTGACAAAATGATCTCAAATTGTGTCTATGTATTTTCTGAGTACAAAGTCCAATGTACTTTGCTTTACAAATCATTTAAGAACCATCAAGAGTAAATGCCTACTTCATTTTGCCATTTAATTCCTGAGTAAGAATCTATTCTGTTTTATATTTTACAATATCCTTTTTCACAAACATTTAATTGGATGTTCAAAGGTACCTTGCAAAGGAAGTATCACTTTCTTCATTTAAGAGTGAGGAGACTGAGAACAAAATTCAGCTTCACCCCACACTTTCAGGGGAGAATATTGCAGTTTTTCTGAGAATATATGATAGATTATTTTCCTTAAAAATGATTGGTATGAGTCTCTTTCGTAACAAATACCTACTATACTCTGGCTATATGATTTGTTTTGGCTGATGAGGCAATAGCTGAGGAGTGACAAAAAGAACTGAAGAATGATTGCTGTCTTTGGGTTTGCTGTTTTGCTCTCCTTAGAATCCCGAGAATTCCCTGTAAAGTAGTTTGCTGGATAAGCAGAAAGATGTGACCCAATCACTTTCATCACCTATCCAACAGCCAGCCACTACCCTGGAGCAGAGTCACATGCTTAGCGTTCAGGATCAGGGGAGACACCCACCTAAAGTAAGCCCAAGCCAGCCATGTAATTATGAGCTAAATATATACTTGTCACTAATTTTGGGTTGTTTGTATGCAACATAAAGTAACAGATACACCTTGAGCAATTTCAAGATGCTTGATCTTGAGGAAGAGCTTAGCATAGCCCAAACTTACTTAGACTGTTGGTAAGAATATGCAGGTGCATGTTCACTGGACGTGTCCACTGCTATCTGTTGCTGCTGACCACTGGTGTCCTGGGATGAAGGTGCCACTGCCTGGGGAGAGGTATCAGCAACAACACCCTAAGGAGGCAAATAAGTACACAAAAGCCTTATTTGCTTTAAGCAAAGGGTCCTCATCTAGATGGAGGGTAAATACCCCTGTATTTGGCTTGAGAAGAGATGCTGTCAACTACATGAGGTCACAATATGCACTCAAAAGAAAACTTCACTGTATGTCTTAATATGGGTTGAAAAAGTCATCTTGATGCAATGCCAATAAGCTGTGCAATCAGAAGTCTTTGGAGTAGCCAAAAGATCAAAACATCATTTTGATTGTACTGGAAACTTTTAAATGGTGGTTGCATAAATCATATTAAGTAACAATTTATTAGTAAAAAATCGTTCATGATTCCTATAAATATTAGTATATTCAAGCAAGCTGCTGGGGTGTTTCACTATACCATGTCTAGAACATGTTTGCAAATCAATGGACTCTGGCCTTAATAAAAATCAACACTAAAATTAGAAATCTTTGTAAAGGGTAGTGTTGAATAGCTTTTCTGTTCAATAATTTGATTTATTTTACTTTGGTTTGTTTTCTAAGACACGGATTGGAATTTATTTAATGGTCTTAGAAAAAAGTGGGGAAAAAACCCTTGTGCTTAATTTGATTTGCCTTTCTTTCAAATCTGTCTCCTATATTTTGTTTCTCACAGCTGCTAGCAGAACAGATTTCTGGCATTGCTCATCATCAGAGACGCGTGTTTGATTCCAAGGAAGCCATAGGTGGTTTGATCTGATCATTAATAGACTCAAGGAGGGCAACAGTATTGGATATCTGCAGTGATGTTGAGTCGTAAATATTCTTGGTCAGTTCTCTGTCTCTTAAAGACTCGTGAAGGTCTTCCTTAGAATCTGAAAAGTCTCCCTCTAGTCATCCATTGTTTCCTTTCTTAAAGGATTATTTGCTGATCTGTACTTTTCTGAACATCCTACCAGGATTTATTTGTGTGGATACAGGTGAATGATCATTGTTTCTACATGGACAATGAATCCATGTTTTTTTATAAACCTAAATTCAATGCACATATCAGAGTATATTTACATTTTTCTCAGTGAAATTCTTCTTTCTAAACTCTGCATTTAACTATAACTAGATTGTTTCCAATAAGGCACACCATCAAATATGTCTTATTATTTTATAATAATTAAAATGCTCTAATTCTTTAGAAAACCATATGCCTTTGGTGTAGACATACAAGAATGCAAATACATGGCAGAAATTTATGCTTAGAGTGCCTGGAAAGTCTAGACATTGATTTCTCGGTGTGTAGGTGCTTTTTAATAGATAAACATAACCAAGAACATATAATTTAATCACATATTCTTGAAATTCTGAAGATTCAATTAAAACTTTGAGATCCATACATCTAGAACACAGAAAAAGATTTAAAAATTCATGTCCTTGTTTATCTAAATTATACAACAGCATCCTGTTAAACATCTGAGATTTCTTCTGTACTTTGATACAAGCAAGTACTTGCTATATACAAAAAACAAACTTTTGAAAAGATCCAATTTAGTCTGTAAAGGTTTCCATCAGTCTTTTATTGGTGGATTTTTGTGTGCAGTGGTGCAAATACACTATATGCTAGACAAATTATGGAGTAGCAAAGAAATCAATTCTGAAAGATTTTCAGTTGGTGAGAAGAGATGCACTGTGACCATAATGCACATGTGCACTGGGAAAAGTGGAGGAGGAACAATAAAAAACAATGTGTAGAACCAGAGAGGAAAATACACACTTAAATGTTTTATCACTCTCTGCACAGCTCTACGCTTTCTGCTTTTCTTATGTAGCTTGAGGCTCTGTCCAGTAAAATGAGGTTTAGAGGGGATTGATTCATCCCAATAAAAAGACAGAAGGAAATCGGCAAAGCTTTCATTAAGGACAAGATGGAAACATTACCATCATTCATTATGTCCACAGCGATAAGAGTGATCCAACCCTTTCTTTCCCTCTATAGGAAGCTATAAATCTGTGAAAGCTCATTTAGTTTAGCAGAGTTGTTGTTGTTTGTTTTTGTTTTGTTGTATAGGGGATTGAACTCAGGGCCTCACTCACACTAGGTAAGCACTGTATCATGAAATTACACTACTTGTCAGAGCAGTGTTTTTTAATCTTTGGTATATATTGGAATCACCTGAAATCTTTTAAAAAGCTGGATGTCTAGTACATACTCCAGATAATTCAATAAAAATCTCTGGCGATAGAATCCATGAACCAGTATGTTTTCAATGTTCCCCAAATAATTTTAATGTGTGAAAAAGTTTGAGAACTAGTAAACTAGTACAGTACATTTCACATTTTAATGTGCATCTGGGTCACTCAGAGATCATCTTACAATGAAAATTGAAATTCAGCAGGTCTCAGTAGGATCTTACAGTTTGTGTTTTTAACAAATTCCAGAGCGTTCCAATGAAGCTGGTCAAGGACCTCTCTTTGAGGAAAAAAGCACTGGAGATCTAGCTCATTCGAACAGCTGCAAACTGCCTTTCAACCCCTTTCATGAGTATTTGTGGTTACCACTTCATAGAATAATGATTTGTTCTCTGGACTTTAAATGTGCAAAGCATCCTTCCCTCATACCTCTGTATCAGGTTAATTGATTCCATGTGCAAACCAAAATACAGGCATGTTAGAGTAAATATGCATATTTTCATATACTGAGCTTTTGACTACAAATTTCAGAGCAGCACACAATCTAGACATGAGGATTCCTCGGGTTATAAGGAACCACAGTATATATGACTGAGATTCATTCTCCCTTGTCTCTTTCTACAAGACAGGGACGGACTTACTTCAATAGAAACAGCTGTTGGAGGCACAGGCGTGTACTGGGGAATGTAGGTCCCTTGCATAGGAGCAGCAGCAGTCATATACTAGAGGAAATCAAAGAAAAATGCATGTAAACTTGCAGTTGCAACCACAGAGAAAATTGATTACCACATGAAGCTACTTTAGACGTAAGGGTCATGGCTAGTACATGATTAGTCAAATTCTATTTTGACCAAAAATACGACAAGTTTCCCACACCAGCATTGAATGGCCTTTTTTTACTGATTCAGTACTAAAAGTAGTCTCACAATATCAGTTCAAGTTACTTCACCCCCAATCTGCATTTTGTCATTTTAAACATCCTATGTAAGATCTCCAGCGTCTCACATTTCGCATCTAAACACAGACTCTGTAAAGGATAGGGAGATGTCTGTCTTGATTTGCTTTTTTCCCCTCCATTTTATTGCTAGCCCCTATTATACAGTAGGCTCTCAGCAAGTATTTGTTGAATGAATGACTCATTACATTAACATTAGTAATAATTTATTTTCCAAGTAAAATGAGAGGAAGAATGTAAGAAAAATGGGCAAATGTCATATTTTGATTTTCATATCATTTGTGTAAAAGAAATACAGTATTGGGGATAATGCTGAAATTTCCTTTATTTCCTTTTCCTATTTCATTTTAAGTCACCGTCATTATTTCCTTTCCAACTCTTTCGAATTTTGAAACTTTCACTATTGTGATAAATAAACAGCTAAATTGTTTTTCTGTATGTTGTGAAATTTAATAAAATATGTATTTGGGATAAGATGTATTTTTGCAAAGAAGAAAGGGAGCTCATTTACTTAAACATAAAATAGGACCCATGTTCTCATTTTTTAACACATATTCTCCCCGTAAATTCAAAGATATATTTTTGGGGAATTAAATTTCTTATGGAACCAACTATGCTTCTGTGCTTCTAAATGTGACAATATCACAAAACTTCAGAATTAGAATCAGCTAATGAAACAATGTTTCTAAATTCATAAAAGATAGAGGAACTATTTTTATGGACAATCAAATGCCTCTGAATCTATATTCTTCTGAATTTGCTCAAATCAAATATTAAAGCCATGTATACATATCAAAAAAGCTGAATTCCTTGCTCTGTGTATCACAGCACTTTCAGTATTCAAGAGACATCATCTAAATGAAGAGAAATATCTTAATGGAGACTAACTTGTCAGCTGCAGTTGCTTAATATTCATGGACAATTATAGTAAAAAAAAAACCCCACAAATTTGGAATAAATGGAATTTCTATCCTAAAAACCCTGTTGTTTCTAAAAATAGAGGCAGTCTTATTAAAACAGCTTAAATGAAACAAAATTGTTGCTTGTCATTCATGTGTTCTTAAAATAACTAAGAGCAACTCATATCCATATAAAAACTACTTTTTAAGTTGAACCAAGAACAATTGCTTGAAAGGCCTGGTAACATTTGTAATTCAGCTTTATAACTGAAAATTATCAGTGACTTCTGTGATCTATCCTCTGTGCTTTACAGTATTCACCATTCTTCTATTAGAGTGTGGAGACTATCATCTCCTTAAAGGCAGGGGCCACATTTTCTGCATCTTGTAATCTCTTAATACACAAGGAAATACCTAGAATTCGATAAGCAATCATTCAGTGGTTGACGGAAAGGATATAAGCAGAAAGCCTTCCATTTCCAGTTAAAAATCAAGCACACCACTTAGTCATTGATTCATTATAGACATTAATTTCACTACACCTCACAATGGATTTGTACATACTTTAAATAAATACCTAAGCTAACTGTTCTCACCATTGGTTTTGTGTCCTTAATTTGGGAGGTGTTCAATTACAATCGCTTTTTCAAGTAAGTACGGAAATTACACATCACAATTCAATAAGCCTGGTTTCACATAAAGAACATAAGGCATGCGTCTGCCTTGTCAACAAAACTGCTCCAGGGAGTACACTGTAAATAACATTTCCTTGGCCATTTCAGATAGGTGATTTGGGACTGTCCATGGCTTCTAAGTAGCCTTGAATATAATATTCCTTACAATGTATACATAGAGCACTAGCTACTTTGAGAGGAAAGGTTTCTATGTCCTGATATATTTGAGCAATGCTACATAATACATGGTCTCCTTTGATAACATACAATACAAACTCTAAGAAGTCATGTTTTACAAAAGCCCATTTGACCACGATTAAAACAGCATTTCTAAAACTTTATTTTTGTAACACCTATGAGTTTTGCTTAGACTTAGGGCTATAGGAATATACTTTGGAAGAAGCTTCTTTACTTGAATCTTAAAAATCCTAGCAAATTTGTAGCACATAGGATATTATTTTTGCCCACTATGAATTTATCTCAGTATGTAATTGATACTGTTGTGGCTTGTGCTCTAACTTTCATCATAGCTCTCCAAGATTTACTATATACTAGCATAAAGATAGTCATTCATCTGCTTGAAATTTTCTGTTCTAGAGTTAGTAATTTCAAACTTTGTACCTGAGCCTAACAAGTTAGTATTTGTGAGCATTCCATAGGATGATGTCTCTGGTACACATGATGCTACTTTGATCCATCCATCCCCATTCTACTGCTAGCATCTCTTAGGAGTTATTTTTGTGAATCAGAAATCATTAGGAACATGACCCATGGCCCCATAGAACATCATTTACCTGTTCACCTGAGAGTCCACTCAATTATAATATTTAAATCTCAGTGCCCACTAAAGAGTTACTAGACATATGGTGAATGAGAATATTTTAGGTGATTCTTAGCTAAAATTTTTCAAACATCTCAGTTATGTAAAAGTTCATGTGTGTGTTTTATTTCTATAAATCAATAGATCTTCACTCTTCCTATAACATTCACCAGAGTTTTGAACATGAACCAAACTGAACCACTTATGGAATAATTCATACTCCTGTTCAGAATAGTTATTTGAGTAGGACAGGATGTTTCATACATTTTACAGGTGAAGAAACTGAGATTCATATATAATAAGAACAAATCTATATTCTTCTGATTCATGACTCAGCATCTTTTTCAATACCTTTCAAATTTGAATAAAAAAGATCCTAAGAGCTTCCTTCTGATCATTGCCATGTAATACAGATACTGTTTTATTTTTATCAATGGCATTTAATTAAATTTTATTAAGAAAATATAGAATTATATGCTTTTGACAGATATTTTTATTGTTGTTTGCTTACATTTTTATCCTTACTTTATAGTCAGAATATCTAATTTTATTATAGGAGGACTACCCTCTATGCTGGTAATTCAACTTTATGCTGCTCTTCTGAACAGAAACAAAGCAGATTTATGCAATAAAAGAGATGAGTTCAGTTCAATGTGCTACGTGTGTCTGTTTGTATACTGTTCAGTGAAACAAAATCTTTCCAGTTGATTTCTTTCATCACAGACAAATTAATAGATAGATTTTAGGGAAACTGTTTGAAAATCAAGAAGGATTTTAAGCAAGTCAATGTAGAGTTTTATGCTCCTTAACACTATCATCGGTGGATAAACTTTTACAATAAAACTTCTGAGTTCAACTTGTATATTCTAGAGTAAAGCCTAAAGAAGTGGCAGTCTTGCAAAATTCAGAGCAAGTACTTACAGGAAATGGTTACACCTCTGTGTAAACTTAACTCCCAGTTTTAGGTTATTGGTGACAAATAATTCTGAACTTTTTCTCCAAGTCTCCAAGTTTGATTTTCTTAAGAGCTATACTTAGACTCAATAATCCAGGCGGCACAGATGTTGTTTAGATCTGGGAGCCTGAGGGACTGCTTTTATTTCATCCAGCTAACAAAAGACAAAGGGTTTCGGATATAAATTCTGTCCTTTGACTTGATAAATTCCCATGGATTATTTGTTAAAACCATAACAGGAATGGATATATATCCTTTAATTTCTTTTATTGATGTTTCCCAAAAGCTAAAAAAATTTTGCCATAAATCTTTATGGATATAAAGTATTTAGTTGACATTTTTTGATACAACAGCTGATGAGAACCATAAAATGAATAAATCTATAAAATATTCTCTGTTACTAGAAGCTCAAAGTTACAGCATTAATACTTTTTTCTTGTAACCAGTTTCATAACTTTTACATAGTCTGAAGGCAGTGGGTTTTCATATGGAAGTGTGTAGAATCATTGAATAACCATTTTTAAAGCCACAGAATAAAATCCAAGCTCCATCATTTGTTCCAAGAAGTCTAGACAGTGCATCATCAAGATAGTCACATGAAGAGAGTGCAAGTATTTGTAAGATTTGAAAGGAATTATGTTTTTGCCTGTTTGAGTTGGGACAAAATATTTCTGTTGCTGTATAATCATTGATTATTTCTGGGGAAAGAGAAAGAAAACCTTAAATCATTAGTTATGGGTTTACTCTATCTTTCCTCACTAAATATAAACAAGGTCAAATGTTTTACATATTTTATAAAGAGAAAATTTTCATTTAAATTATTTTCCAGGGCCAAGAAAGGTTCTTGATATTGATATTTGTTTTTTCTTAAAATAACTGAAGAAACTGGTTTATTTGGAGGTATCACTACATTATTTAGGTTTTACATTGGTGTATTCACTCCTTGCTATAAAACTTGTAAAGGTGGTTAATAAATTTCAGCAAGAGGGGTTGGTTAGGTCTTATCAATCCCAGAAAGTCAATGAGAAAGACACAAAAAACTATGAAAATGTACCTCCAAAAGCATCAGATGAAAGCAGAAATTGTGATGGATGCTGCAAATAGTACGTAGTTTCAATTATTTTTAAAACATATAACTACAAGTTTCTTTTAACAAAGCAAGCTTGAAGATATGGTAAGGCCCTGCATTATTATTTTTTTCAAGGCTGAATGAAGGCCTGAGAAAAAAGCATAGTGTTATCCCCAGCAGAATTATTCTGCAATTTTGACAACTATGCTGTTTGAAACTGTATAATTTTATCACCTCAGAGTTGAGTCCCAATGGCTAGACAAGGGATGGAAGACTGATAACATTTTACGTGTTTGTTTTGATTAACTGAGCAGTAATAGCTACCACAAGGTGAGTGAGAATACTTTGCA